GGATTTGCAGCAGTTCTTTGGAGAAGGCTAAGATGTGCCGCGAAAGAAGGATCATTTAGATGGATGTGGCTGTCTGTGGAAAAGAGGTGTAACGTGAGAGGACAGGGTGAAAAAGCATTGGGTGTGAGAGTCTGAGTAGGAGGATAAAAGATGTAGGAGATAAAAGGGTTGAGAGAGGAGAGATACAGACAAGGGAAAATGTATGTCTGATCTTAAAGATAAGGGTAAATAGCGTTGGTTCAGTACAGTAAGCAACAGGAAGCCAGGTAGTGATTCATATGGCCAAAGCAACAGGAGAGGAGATGACACAGAAGCCTAATTTTGGAGAGATTCTTGGAGGAGATAAGTGAAAGAAAAGGAAAACATCAACCAGAAGGTTATAAATGAGCACCAGACTATATGTGAAGGTATTAGTAGTCATAAAGCAAATGTATTTCTATTCTCCACTAAATATTTGTAGGAAGTCTCCATTTTCAGGCATTTAATATTATGGATGGGTGTAATTTGTTGTGTTTCTTTTTCAAAATACCAAATAAAGGTGTCTTCAGCCATGGATTAATCATTTGCCAACCTTAGTTTTTAATTAAATGCATTACTGTGCTATATGAGTGCATAAAGGAGTAAACATCAAAGTTGCTCTGTTCTGCTATTGTTAAAATGTGAAAACTGTTTTTTGCTTTGGAATTCTAAGTTTTACATTACATGATTTAGCCCAAGGCAAATATTTTTTATGGCTGAATTATAAAGTTCTTGAGAAACAGGTTTATGAAAGAAGTGCAGACAATCTTCAAAAAAGCATTATAAGCATCAAGTCAAATTATGGAGCAAAGATGGGCCTGAACCCAAACCCCAGAGCTAGCCACTACATTAACTTCTACATAAGCTGGATTCAGATTCAGTCTTTATAACACTAACTCATCCTTGCCATAAAATCCCATTACTGATGTGAAAATGGGGAGCCGAACAAATGTGTAAGCAGTTGCAGGATCAGGACCTAAAATACCGTGACTAAAATGTGAGAAGTGGATTATAAAAAGAGACTTCTGAATGTTTCATTTGATGCCAGTTTATATTCAAGATGATTAAAGATTAAACATTTCCAGATATATATATGTAAACCAAGGATAGAATGTCTTCACTCATCATTTCAGGGCAATTCATACATGGAAGAAACCTGCGCCTGCATCTGTGAACCAGAGAGAAAAAGATGGGTAGAAAAACTAGACTAACGCTATTCACATTATGATAGGGAAGGATGCTAATATACCAGACTCTGCTATATTTCCTAGGCCTTGAGAATTCAACAGAAAAAAAAAATAATTTCCCAGTGTGAAATCCAAAATGCAAGTAGAGTGCTGAAGAAAGGCAGAAATCCTCCACCACGGGCCACGTTAGCCACAACAGAGGCCATTCCTGTTCAGCTGTCTTTGCAGCCTGGTGCACATCTCTCTGTGCAAGAGGAGAAAGCACTGATACTTGAGCCACGAGCATGCTGAAATGAACCTTGGTATATGGATTAGTGGTTACAAGGTAGACTGAGGTGATAAAAGCAACCTTCATCATTAGTCTTACAATTTATCACATTGTACCATCTTCACTAATGTACATGTTCTGTCTGCATTTAAGTGTTTAATTTTTCTTTTAGAGAATGGAATGTCTTTAAAATATACTAGCTACTAACACGCTGTGCCTGCATCTGCAGAAAGTAACTTGTTAATCTGATAGGAAAACAAAGGGGAAAAACGCCATGGTTGGTTGGTTGGTTTGGATCATCTTTATGGCGTACAACTGTGAACGAGTATTTCTTCTCTGCAGATTCACGGAAATTACCTGCCGGACAATGCTGATGCCTAGGGAAGGGAGGCGTCATTGTCATGTGCTAAGTGTAATTTTTGATATACACGCTCTCTGGGTATCTGCTTACTACTTTTCACTTACAGAATTAATCTTGGCTTCTGAGACTGACTTTTTAAAACAAACATGTATGCACACTCTTCCACAACCCCCCAGTAAGCTACTGTCAGCAGGTAATTTCTGTTTTCAAAAATAGATGTACTTTATTTTAAAACCTATATTGTCTCTCAGTCAGTCGCAGACTGCGATGTGCTTCAGGACAGAACCAATTTATCTCAAGGACTGTCCAGCAGCATGAGAGTTTTAATAATCAGAGAGCACTGTTAACTCTCCCCTTCCCCCCTGTTCTGGGAACTTCTCTAAAAGAAAAAAAATAAAGGGGGCTTAATGTGCTACCTATAAAATATACATCCCAATCAATCAAGGAAATGCATAAGTATTTCATATGATGATCCAGGGACTGCCTAAAGACGGGGAAATGAGACTCAACCCAATAACGCAGTCTGACTAGTGCCAGCCTGCCCGCAGACACAGGCATGGGCAGGGCTAGGGGCAAGGGCAGGGGCAGAGGCAGAGGGAGGAAAGAATGAAGTGCACAGAGTGCAACAGGACCAAACTGTGCTTTAGTGCATGATATTACAGTGTTGCAATCACAGAAGAGAAGGGGAATGTCTGGCAAAAACTCAGAAAGTAGTGATGAGAGAGTGCGCAGTATGAAACCAGCAGACAGATTTCCTACGGACTTAATCTCCAGACTTCAGCTGACCTTAAAGTCGGGGCTTCAAAAGGGCAGCGAGGGAGAGTGAGAGTGGAGGGCTTAAACTCGGGACTGGAGTCAAAGGGATGGGGGATTCTGAATCTGTGTATGATTTCTGAACACAGATGTAACACATTTGTAGTTAATCTGTGTGGCTGCAGACTTACAACTATGTTTGAAAACTATTTCAAACATAGTTACATCTTCGGAGTGGACAGGGATTTACTGCTGCGGCTGCACTGGGAGGATGACCCTGCCCCCAGCAAAGCCCAACTCTTTTCCCTCTGCATCGTTCAGAAAGACTTTTTGTGGAGTAGGTCCTCTAACAGGCCTTTTTTTCTGCTGAAGCATTAACAGAGTTTGCCTCGGCTGTGCACCAGTAACAAATTGTTTTCAAACTCTGCTTTGGGAGATGAGAGTGGCTGACATCCACCATTGGCCGCAGGTCATTTTCCTAGCGCAGACCCATCTTTGGGGACCATTTAACACCGTGTTTCAGCTTTCAGCCTTAGAGCTCTTCCTCTAACCCCTACCCCAGTGACTGGATTTCCTCCACACAGAAAGAGCCCAAAGTGCTCCACGTAAAAGAAGCAGTCGGGTTGAGCTAGGTAATCACTCTCCGGGCGCAGGGACAGCCTCTAAGGCAGGGCAGTGGGGCAAGGGACAGACCCCATAGCTGGTGAGCACCAGACCGTGCAGCCAAAGCCGCAGGATTCAGAGCCCACTCTGTCCCTGTCCCCTGGTGCCAGCCGAGGGGTGGGTTGCTCAGAAGGAGACACACAGTTCCCAGTGTGGATTTCACACCGCGTGGGGAGCAGAGCCAGCCCCGGGAGACACCAGCAGCTGCTCAGCCCCTCAAGGGGCTTCATGAGAGAAGGACAGACTGGGGGCGTCAAAGCAGCAAGAGAAGCTGAGAGAAGTGGGAATGACAGCCAGGGCAGGCGAGAAGGGGTACAGGAAGAGGGGAGGGAGGGAGGGAAGGGGTGCAGGAAGGCCCCCCAGAGATGCAGAAATGCAGAGGGGACAAGGACAGTGGGTTCGAGTGAGCCTGCCACCTGGGGGTCCCCTCGCGGGGCTTCCCCACAGCTCAGCCCACACCAGCGTGGTCAGCAGCCCCTCGGATCACAGGGGACGGTGGTGTCCCACCGGGGGACCGCAGGGACTCGGAGGGACACGCGTGAGGCCGGGTGCTTGGCTGCATGCTCGCACGAAACAAAAAGAGCGGGTTGGAGGGAGGGAGGGAGGGGG